TTAGGTAATTCGATTTCCCATTTTATTTGACAAATACGACGATGCTTTTTGCAGCAACCTAATATGAACTTTGATAAAAGCGAGCGGGGCGTTCGCGTTCAGCCTTAATTATGCTCAACAATATTGTCAAGATTAACGGCGAGGAAGCAAGCCGATGTAAAATAAATGAAAAGTTATTGCATGACAAACGTTGCTCACGACGTCGCGGCCCAGCGGGCGCTATTTAAATGCACGCTTGAAAAACTGCGCTTTTCCTGGTGTCGACGAGAATAATAAAAATGGTTGCACGCGCGCGGACTACGTGGAAACGCGCCAGAGTTTGTTCGATTGAATGGCAACCCTCTGATGCGTTTAACCCCCCGGAACGGCAAAAGTGTCGTTCAATTAAGCGGTAAAATACTAGAATACTCGACGGAGTTATACAGACTGACTGTTTGAATACAATCTCCAATCAAAACTTGATATTCACGTGTCGCCGGATGAAGAAATTAATCGGCACAACTGTCATCCGCGTGATGAAGATTTCGCGTCAGATCCCCGCTTGGGCATTCTTTTCCTCTTTGCATTTCACACTTATTAACGGCTTTCTACCGTTATCTCTAGGATCACCTCCTAACCTGACATCCATTATCCAGCAGACTTTATCTAGCATCTTGCACAAGAGCACTGGATCAGTCAAAAAGTTCGGTTCGACTTCCGATAAGTGATGTCACACACGTGTAACACAGACAGCAATGCCGATAATGGTTTGCCGCTTAAAAAGCATTAGAACAGGTAATCGCAGGTAACGACGACGATTACTCGGTTGGTGAGTAATTTGAACTATATACAAGGTGTCCGGTAACTCACAGAGAAGACGCAGTGTACAGATAGATTAGGTCTAAATGAACAAGAAATTCCTCTATTTTGCGAAGAACCACGTAAAATTTTGCGTTATTAATCCAAGAAATTTCATAAATGATCACGCGCCATATAATAGATGAGCTGCGATGACGACGTTTGCCGCTGTATGCTTGTATATTAGTTATTAATTAAAGAAGTTAGTGTGCATTTTTTTTATTGCGCACGATAATGCGCCAATGTCGTTTAATTAATAATTAAAAAACTTATGCGGTTATTTGCAAAATAATAAAAGACTTTTTTGTTCAGTTTGTGTTAATTTATCTATACAGGGTGTTTCTTAACCTCCACCCACGAAGTACATAGCGTTCCTTATGAAAAATTGAATCGAACAGTCCTGAACCATTTTTATCTTTGATGTTTAACAAAGCAGATATTCTTTAATAAATTCCAGCAAATCTGCGTCGTTCTTTAGAAGTATATAATATACACGTCTGTGAGCCGCGTGCCTGGTAGTGTGCATGAATGTTCTGCTGCATTCACGCACACTACCAGGCGCGCAGCTCACAGACGTGTATATCGCTAAAGAACGGCACGGATTTGCTGAAATTTATTAAAGAATACCCGCTTCGTTAAGCATCAAAGACAAAAATGGTTTAGGACTTTTCGATTTAATTTTTCATAAGGAATAACGCTATGTGTTTCGTGGTCGGAGGTTAAGAAATATTCTATATACCGCGGCTCTAACGCAAGTATACCTTGTATATATGTCAAAGGCTCTTGAGGTGTCCAAAAAAATGAAGAGGAAGATAAGACGTTGTTAATGTGAATAACTTGAGAGACGGAAGGATAATATGTTTCACAGTATAACATTACTATCCTCCCATTCCAAATTATTTGCATCAACATCGCCTGATCTCTCTCTTTTCATCTGGTTGTATACATCAAGAGCCTCTTTAACATGCACTGAGGGAAAAATTACCTTAAAATCAACAAATATTTCTTTGATAGGTATTAATATATTTATTTAAATCTAAATTCTCTTTATTTAAACCAAATATTGTTTACTTAAATCAGGTAAACAATATTTGACTTAAATAAAGAGAATTTAGATTTAAGTAAATATGTTAATGTTTTACCCATCAAAAAAATATTTGTTGATTTTAAGATAATTTTTCCCTCAGTGTATATATGTGGTTAAAATCATTCATCAAGCAAGTAATTATCATTGTTATTTGCGCTTCTCAGTTATGACAGTAATGTAAGCAGCGACATTATTATGTTGCTATTCAAACTTATTTTCTCAGATATCCAGCCTCTCATAAGCCTTATCTTTCTCTTAATTGGAATGAACAGTTTGTTCGTTTACATTGAATACGTTAAAGTGAAATTCGACTTCAAAATCCGACCTTTTCCATCGACCCAGATACGAATACAGCCAGCCATTTTCGTCGCACGGAGACAATGCAATTTTCAGATATGACGGATCTACTACCGTCATGTTTAATTAATAATAACGCCGGTAATTTTTCCGGCAGAAGATTGCATTTTCCGCCGAGAAATTCGGCCGAATTTCTTGTTAACTCGTAATAGGTACGGTGCCTTTTTAGTTAAGCTACAGATACAGTGAGGTCCGGCGGACCCCAATAAATTTTTGCCATTTTTAAAATTATAATAAAAGCTAGAAAGAAAAACGCTTTATAGAAAATAATACCTATTCGAAAATAATACTTTACGAATATTATATTACAACTAGACATATATAATAACAGTCGCAGTTTTTCAATAATCTAAAATAAAACGTTAACTGATTATAAAATGAACACAATGTGGACAGTGTTGAAATAAAATATACTGAAAGACAAATAATCGGAAAAAGAAAATATTTATGTTTTAATCTAAGTCCAAAAATTATAGATTATATAAAAAATATAAACAAGTATTATTAAATTAAATACAATATTAAAATCTTAAAAGATTTTTTTAGATGCAATCGTTACAGATAGTGCTTGCACATTTGGTGCATACTGGTTCATTGCATTTATATATGCATTATAATGCACATATATTTCTTTGAACTTCATATCTTCTAGGACATTTATTACATCTTACTCTAGCAAAATAATTTTAGATCTTTCAGATTCTCCAATTTTTAAAATAGATGAAATTATTAAACGCAATGGCTTATGAATATATTGAGTTGTAAGACTTCTCTTAAGTTCAGATTCTACTAACTGAAAGGGAAGAGCTTTTACTCTTTTGCGTGAAGAATGAGCCATATTGAGCTGAAGATTAAGAAAATTATTTTCATAAAAGTAACGTTAACGGTACATAGTGGGGTCACTATGACCCCAGACGAAAAACAAATGCATATAATTCACAGCTACTTACAAATACTTACAAAACTCGATGATTTTTTCTTCTGTCACACTGAGAACTGTTACTCGAAAGGTACTGAAGATATTAGCGCCATACAGTGGATAGTTTAGGAATTATCACGAAAATAAAATTAATTAGGGTCCCTGGGGCCCCATTATACCAATTACGGGTTAAATATATCTCTTATTTTTGCGAAGCAATGCTTCATCGCGACTCGCGTCAGCTCGCATTACATCTCCAACTACAAAAATACCCGGCCCGACAATCCTTTAGTCGGACGCGTCGGGGAACTGGCGTATCGCATGCATTTTTAAATTCGGCCGAATTTACCGCTGCATGTTTTCGCATAGCCACGTATATTTACAATCGCGCGTCACGTCGCGTGATCGACAATTTCGGGCGCGAAAGCGGCCCTTCTGTGCCACTTTAAACGGCACACAGCGTTAATCGTCTCCTTTAAGTTAAACAACGTACAGCGTGAAGCGAGCGACAAGCCAGATAGACTTTCATGATTATCACGATGTGAGACAATCGATAAATGGAAACTTTATAGTTCCTCCAATTACACCGGTGATGTAAACATACTCTATTGAATTAATCATGAAATTTACATCACAATAGTGTAAATTTGTTGTTACATCGACGCAACAACAAACTGACTTGCGGTTACACAGAGTTTACATTTTACACATATTCTGAGTGAATTTTCATCTTACTCTTCGCGCTTCTTTCATACTTTTATTTCATCATTCTGTGTGTGTATGAGTGCCAATATGAACCACTCATAAGAGATGTAATCTTTGCAGGTCAACTAATATATAAAATGGCTGCCAAATTTATGTATATCTCCCGAGTCGAAATTTTGGTCTTATATTAAACCTTTAATTCTATAACGTAGTAGGAACTAAGTTAGCAAAATAGGTTTGATTTTAACGATACAATTTACTTCTATTTTAATTCTAATGATTTTCTTTTCTTTTCACTTTTTTTAGCGTCAAAATAGATTGTAAAAGCTGCAGAATATCAAAATAGGGGTTGAGTGGGATATTGAAGCTGAAGGGAGGATCAAAATTTCGATTCGGGTATCCAAGCGAGGAATCGCTATTTCGGGGATGTCGGAGGATCCGCGTGCGCATATACGCGAATATAATTTTCGTGCCGAATACGCCGCGCTAATGACTTCATGATTCAGAATACACGTGTACCGATAATTCTGGACTTTAAGTAGGATTGCCGCGATACAGAAGTATTCCACACTAGGGCTGGATTTTCAGTACTTTATTGGTCTTTTGACATCGCATCGATCATAAGACGGGAAATTATTCTATATATATATATATATATATATATAGGTCCTTCTTACACATGCCAAACTGTCACCGTTGGAACATCTGCAAAATAATTTTTGTCTCGTTGCGCGTGCATGCAATTTTTTGTACATTTATCATTCTTATCGGCGAGATTCTCGTGCAGCGACTTTGCACTTACACAACGGGAATGAAATGAAAAATACATTTAATTAACGTGTATTAACTTTGTATCACATTCGCTCTTCTACCATTGATCTGTTGCGCAGCTGTATTTCAAAGAGATAAATTAGACGATCGTGGATACGGCAGGGGATGAATATGGATACGCACCCCTATAACCCCGTCGCAGAATTTTTTCCCTTTTTTCATGCGTGCTATTGTCGGCAGTATAACGTCGCTGTTATCAGCGACGCGCGCGCGCGCGGATATTGAATTGAACGCGTTACGACTACTGTCAAAACGGTCTCGTACCTAGTGCAGTCAAGCTCCGCGAGCGTCCCTTTAACGGTATCCTGGATCCTCGGGCCCTTTAAATCTCCAAATCGTGGTAACACACGCGTCACCGCGTATACCGCGGAGAGGCGGAAATAAATAAATAAGAGCGGAGACGGAGTAGGCGCGCGCGCGCGACGCGCGATCTCGCGACGGCTTTCGGGTGCGAGAGAGGAGCGGTCGAAAAACAGCGAGGAGAGAAAGGTGAGAAAGAGGAGTCGCGCGACTATGCGGTACCGTGCGGCCGGTGGAACTTGGAGCAGGCTCTCGTCGCGAGGGAGTCGCGGCACGATACTGACGAGTCGCCCGTGGGGCGCGCGGACCTCATGCCGCCAGGATCTCCATCCCCACCGGCGCGGCGCCGACATTCAGGGCCGGTTGATCAACGGGCACGTCGTGAATCGTCGTCAAGGTGCGTCAGTACGCCGCGCCGCGAGGGTTGCTCGCCATCGCTGCTCAACAACCCCCCGCAACGCGCCCGCGACTCATGGTGCGCGAAGGGTGGGCGCGTAATTGCGTGACTACTTTTCGGCTCAGCGCAATGAGATTAACTCTCAAGCACCGCGGCGGCGCGGTGACGAGACGCGTTCGCTCAGGGACGTTGTTGGCTAAGCCCTAGATGTAACACCTCGCTTGTCGAATATCGAAGCTTGCGCGAGTATGAGGGCTGCCTCGTTTGTAACAACACTGTCGCCCTCCAGCACTGTTCGATCCATCGAACTCCGCGATAACGTCCCTTAAAACCCTAGAGAAGCGCAGACATGGGTAAAATTTAGCCATACCGACCTTCCAAACATTATCCTTCTTCAAATTGTGTTTTGTTTTTCTGTTTTTTTTTTTATTATGACTTTTTTCAACTTCATTGAATCTCGAAAATAGTAGAATCATATTCCTCGGTGACTTTTGTCTCGATTAGAAGATAAAGATAATTTTTCGAGAATTAATTTGAGCAAAAAGATGCGCTGGGTAAAATTCACTAATGTTCAGGGCTCGTGTAATTTTTTCAGAAAATAAAAGAACTTAGGGAGCTTAAGGTTCTAGAATTAAGTTTGAAAATAATTTCACGTTGTCTGTCGTCAACTCCTGTGTGACAATAATACTTACTCATAGTTAGGGGATTTTTTCCAGCACTTCAAAATGCTTCTCGGGAAGCACTCTGAGAGAACAATAAAAAGACCCTGACTACCAAATCCTGGTTATCCAAAAGTAGCGAAAATACAATGTCAATATCTGGGGAAGTTAAATATAAAATAAAAGTTAAATATAAAATCTTTCCTCTTTTTAAAAAAAATTACAAAATTTGTAATTGTTTAAACGAAACAATTTTTTCGTACTCCTGTTAAAAAAAGAATTAGAAAATCATATACAAATTTATTTTTAATTTTTAAATAATCTCGTATTCTGTTAGTTGGGACTTGAAAGAAGATATGTAAATTACTTCAAAACTTCCCAACATAAACATAAAGGATGATTAATCTCTTATTGGCTTCTATATTGGATGTAATTGTCGCCAGATATATCGTTGAACGATTCTCGAATAAACAATTAAAAGTTCATCATGCAATAAAGGGAAAACTAATCGCGGCTGAAATTGGCAATATTTTGCCGCTCGATTCTTCTATGTAAATTGTGGGCAATTTTTCAACAGTTATGTAAATAAAAATCGTAATAAAATCACGGTGACTGTGCAACACAATATGTAAAGTTTATCAAGTATGAAGGGTAAAAAGACGTAATGTAGTACATTTATTTCTTTTATTTCTATAAATTGAATTTAATAATAAAAATAAAAAATCCACATCGTGTTTTCGGGGTAGTGACAATAATAATGCTTAAAGTAAAAAGTTATAAAGTTTGTCAAGACGCTAAAGTTTCTCAAGTTATAAATTTTGTCAAACGTATGAAGGAAAAAAGACATAATGTAGCATATTTATTTTTTTCATTTCAGCTGGATTTAATAATAATAAAAATAAAAGAACTACACCGTGCTTTCGGAATAATGATAGTAATAATACTCTTTTAACTGCGCGCGACTATGAACATCCGCAGCATCGACACCCTCACGGTTAAATCAGTTATCGACACATCCTCTCATTCTGGATAAACATTAATTCACCAATAGTAACGCTAAATCCACACGATCACACGTACGTTACATCGTGGAATTCTATCGTCTCGTGTATCGTTCGTTTGAAACTCACACACCCACTTCGAGTTTCCAAAGCTACCCTCCGGCTCCCGAAATTTAGCGCGCGCGCAATGAAGGTAACGCCAAATATTTAAACGCGAGGCAAATATTTATTTTTGCCGATAAAGCAGCAACTCTTGTGCTTCCCAGCGTGCCTGTATGCGTGTGTGTATGTGCATTGGTATGTGTGTGCGTGTGTCGATCGCGCGCTATGATACGTTCCTTCGGTTATATCCAGCCGTGATGCTCCATTCGGGACGGACGTTCTATCGCTATGAACTTTCGGTGTCACGACTCTCTGTGATTCTTATCTAGGACTCCTCACCAGGATTCTGCCGTTCATTATGTATCATCATTATTGCGCGCGCACCGTGCGCAGGTCGTTTCAGGCATACAACGTTAGCTTTCAATCACCGCGGGTGATGTGTGGCCAATCGATGCGATTAGCCACGTTAATAAGAACGTCGATCACACGTGGCAGTTCGATTAAAATTAGGAAATTTCATTGAAAGGACTGTGTAAACCGAATTATTATTAAAATCGCAAGATAGGATAAACGAAGCGAGAGAACAATGTTGGAAGATTCAAGCGGGAAAGGGAAGAAGAGATCGTCGGGCGCTTCACATCGTTTTCTTCCCTTCTCTTCATCTTATTTTCCGCGACTGAAGCTCTAGTCTTTTCAGCTTGGCCTCTCCCGCTTTCTCCTCGTCTCGTTCTTAACCACAGACACATTTAATTTGGTTAATTCGTTACTCGGCTTTGTCCTCTTATTATATCATCAGCTGACAGCACGACGCCTTGCGAAACGAGCGAAGCGGAGTTCTCTCTCATCGATATGACAGTCGTAAAACTCTATCGCCTCCGAATTCGTCAGGCACGACGCTCCTACAGATTGATGCAAATATTACGAAACGCTTTATATACCGTTCCAAGCGTCTATCGCGCGCTTTCTCCTCACTAGGCCACTGGAAATGGCCAATATAGAAGGCACAAAATAGAAGGCATAGGCCTCAATGTCAAGGCGTGAACACCACAATAAATGACTGTGAATTTGATTGCGTTTCGTGCCAAATGGATTACCTGTTTGTGAATAAAAAAAATAAACAAAAAAGACGGATATATTGTATAATATATTTGAAATTAACGCAAATTAGAACCTGCAATTGGCTCTTATCGTTCTACACCGTTGCATAAATCACAATTTCGACCTGAATCGAAATTTTGATGCTACTTTGACGCTCTTAAGGATAGTTTGCACTTACTTAGACGATTTATAACCTAGATAAAACCTACTTTGACGATATCGATAATCGTTAACTTCTCTTTTAAACCTTTAACTCTATCTTGTCAAGATTTTGACGCTACTTTGACGCTCTTAAAAATAATTTGAGCCTACTTAGATAATCTACAATCTGGGTGAATTTTGACAATATTCACACTCATTTCCAAGTCGAAATTTTGACCCTATATTGAACCTTGAATTCTACACCGCAGTAGGAATTAAGATAGTAAAATAGGTTTAATTTTAATGATATAATTTACTCCTACTTTGACTCTAATGATGTCTGAAATATATGCAACAAATAAAATATATATTTTGCATGCTATTTGACGTTTCTGTTTCATTATTTATTAAATTTTTTAAATATTTCTATAAAATACACATATTCTATGTAGGAGCTAAAGCTTCAATAGAGGTTCGCAACTGAACCTACTTTGCTTTCTAAGATTCTATTATTATACAACCTACTTATACTTTGACGCCAAAGAAAGCGAAAGCGGAAATTTCAGACATCATCAGAGTCAAAGTAGAAGTAAATTATATGATTAGAATTAAACCTACTTTGCTATCTTAGCTCCTACTGCGGTAGAATTCAAAATACATAGGATCAAAATTTCGACTCGGGGACCGACGTTAATAATCACAATGAAGGAATAAAATCGCAGCCGATAATCGCGTTCAATTTTGTCCTCGATCCCGACAATTCCCCATCCCATTTGGACGGAATCTATGAATTCATTGCGCGGTTTTTCAAATCGAACGTTAAAAATATCGAAATCGTGGAGAAGTTTTCGCCATGTATGAGTCGAGGAAAGATCTCTATTCCCGCCGAGCAATGAGGAGTCACAGGAGAATCATAGTCAGGAGAGGAAGCGCAAGACGACGCCTCAGGGCGGCGCGATGTATCATCCAGGGCCAGGCATCCTGAAATGTTTTACGAATCGTCGTGCGGAGAACGTCGTGCGCCGTTCCGTTACCGTCCGGTGCATACCCGTAAAAGTACCCGCGGCTTTCGATCGTTTCTCGTGATGCGACGTCCCGATAGCGTAGTAAGCACTACCTTAGTGAATGACACGGTCTCCCACGCCTCTCCGTTCGCCGTGGCTCGGCTTCGCGAGGCTGCGCGAGGAAGGAGCCGCGGCGAAGAGAGAGGTAACCTGCAGGCGCATCCTTTTACCGCGACGCGACGCGCCGGTAACAGTAAATTCACTTTCATCTGTGATATTAGCCGAGCCAAGGCGAGCGAAGGCAAGGCGATTCGCCTTTCGATTCGCGAGGAAGACCGCGACCGGAGCCTGCGCGTCGCGCATAAACGTCCTCGGATAATTGACCCGAGGGTTTGACACCGAGGTGAACCGGCAGGAAAAGAGTGCTCGGTCTTCCGAGTGCCTGGCCGAGGGGGGGTCTCCCCATGTTGCCGAGGTCTCGTTGCGAGTTACTGCGCGATCCCCGTAACGCGGGGTCAAGTAAACTTCCGCGGTCTGAGAGTGACGTCGGAAGTACTCTCGCGAATCGACAGAAGCAACCAGATGACAAAAGGTCTCCTCCCGTTCTCGCCTCGCGAGAACTTCCTCTTTCGTGCGTCACGCGTATACACGGCGTCGTGGATAAAGTTTGCTACTATTTAAGAAGACCTCTCGTAGAGGAACTACTAATCAGGATGCACCCTCTCCTCCCCAAACAACACAAATTACTAAAAGATGTCGGAAATATATTATATGTAGCCTTCTTACCATTAGTTGCTAGACAACTTGACCCAATACCAGGTCAAGTTGCAACATATTTGTCTTTCGGTTATTATAAGAGAA